AAGCATCGTAGCCAAGTTTACATACTCTAGAAATTAGGAAATATATCCGTCTAAATGCAGCCCGAATGTTATATGGAACACATGCTTCGGTGAACGAACATTTTTTTCAAGAGATAGAAAATAGGAGGAAATTTTTTTTATCCAGTCCACAGGATGAAACTGCAACTTTCAGTCAACTAAATGGTCATTTAAAGGTCTAGAAAGGTGACTTAATAGCAAAGTTCTTCCATTCAGTCACCTTTCAAGTCTTTCAGTTATCTTTCATTAACTGATTGGTAGAGTTACATCCAGTAGTCAGGCTTAAAAAGAATATAAAGGTGTGAAATTTGCATGTGTGAGACTCTCTTTTCATAAATGGCATTAAATACGACGTTCCTGCTGATATCACCGCAATGCTTCTACGTTACACAAGCTGAACAGCACGACAAGAGCGAGGAGATCCACCACAAACGTCAAGACGGGACAATAAAACAGCTGCGTTACGAATCAACTCCTGATAAAATAGATACCTGAAATGCGCGGAGGAAGAGACTAAGCGCCGCAAGGTGCATTGTGTGAAATGTTTGAAATATCTGTCATTAAATGTACGGGGATTAAAACAGACTGAATAATGGTGAAGTTATATACCTTATTTCAAAATATGATAGAATTGATCTAACGGAAACTAAAAGACGTTATTCTGATGGCATACAAATACCTAGGTTCAAAACTTACATGAAAAATAAACGTAAACTTCCGTATGTTCAATCTGAGGGTATTATTTTAGCTGTTAAGGATTACGTCGTTAAATTTGTAAGAATGATAAATACAGATTTTATATGTTCTGTAGTTCAAGATGAACAAAGATTTATTTAATACTACCAAAAATATAATTAGTGGAGTTGTTTTTATACCCCCAGGAGGAAGTAGATATTCTTTAGAGAATTGTTTTTATAGAATTGGAACAAGAGTCCATCAATTTTCCTACAGATTCGAATTATTGTGTATGTTAGATGACTGAAATGCTAGAGTTTGGAAGTGCACTTGAAAAACAGTACAATATTGTAACCACTATTGAAATATCGCTTCTGTTGAATAACTATAACAATGGTGGTTGAGAATTCATTTCAAAAACTGCAATTCATTGCAACCACTATATAAGGACTGCTATTGAAACAACTATTTCAAAGTGGTTGAGAATGCATTAAAAAACAACACTACTTTGCATCCACTTCTGATATAATATACAGTTATGGACTCTTAAGAAGGGAAACATCGCCAATTACATGTGTCAGGTCTGAGTAGCGTTTTCACTGGCCTGGTTCCCTGTCCCTGTTATGCTTCGCATACTCCGCGACACTATTTTTCTACGCCGTCGATGCAATGTATCATTGTGACGTCAATGTTTATTTCCGTGGTTAACGGCAACGGCTAAAAAATCCACGATTTAGCGCAAATTTTTCTGACCAATCAAGGTACAGCATCGATTTTAATCCACCTGCCTTGGCGAGGATGAACAAGGGAAGCAGGCGAAGTTTTCACCTGAGGGCGCTTGCGCCCGAGGGGGGACACCCTACTCAGACATGATAATTGGTGATGTCTCCCTTCAAAACAGTCCATTATTGTTTGATTATCCTTAAAAATCTAAATTATTAAGTAGAAAATATCAGTCAAACTTCTTGTGTTCTCCTACACACTGCTCCGAGTCCATTTTTCAAAATATGTCAACAAACTCTGACGTCACGGTGAGAATTCATTGTTTATCGATCACGCGTATTTAAGTCAAATCATTATAAATAGAGTTATCTCGCTTACGAAACTTAATTTATTTTCATGAAAAGATGACAACACAATTGTCACTCTGGTCCCTCGCTTGCGCTATTTCATTGTCATCTGAAGGGAGACAACACAGTTGTCACCGTTAGATACATCTGAATTGTCTCCCCGCAATCAACATCTCTAATCCTATAATTCTGACGGATAAAAAAAAATCATTATTGAATAATTGCTTCAATATTGGTCATAATTTCATTAAATCACTATTGAAACACCCACCATTAAAATAAATATATTGGTTAATTGACTTGAATATTATCAGTTGTAAGCAATCCGACCGAAAGTCTCTATTGTTAACAGCATATACATATACATGTACAAATCTAAGTGAAGAATAAGAATTATCGTTGAGATTGTTGGAATTTTAATTTTCTTCAACAGATTTATTTTCTCACATGTAATAGAAGGTAATCTATGAGGAAAAATATAAAAAAAAAATATGTTTTTTCAGCACTTGTAATAAGTGTTATTTCAATAGTGGTTACAATGTTTCACCCACCATTGATATAAATTCATTATTGCATTATTATTGAACAGTTTTTCGATTTAATTATAACAAGCATTACTGAGTCTATAAAAACCAACAGTGTAAATTTCCTTATTTCCTGGTATTTAACACTACCATATTTGATAGGTATTTATATTTTGCATTTCTCTGTATACATGTAACATGGATCCTTAGGGATGGAGCATTGCTTTTTTTAAAATAATTTTTCTACTTTCCGCAATAACCCAGTCGTTTGGATACGGTGAGTTACATTTTCAACTATGTTATAAAGCGGTGAGTTTTGTTGTTTTTTTTTTTTTTTTTTTGGGGGGGGGGGTTATGGGCTTTAAAAGAATTGACAGTGATCATGCCCTGTGTATGATGATGAACAAAATCACACATACTGGGATTTGTCTTCCAAGTGGTCTTATTTCATGATTAATTATTACTTTTTCTTTATTTCTTTACCAGGTTACCTTTCCTTTTGAATTAAAAGTGCAATGGTCTTGACACAAATCATTCCTTGAAATGTATTTGTCATCTTCTATGAAAATATGATATGATATCTGATGGTTTCGACTGTTATGTCTCCTTTTTTCAATGCTTTGAATTTTGTTTGTGTATAATGTTTTCCTAAAGTAAGATTTACAATGGGGATATATCTTAAAATAGTAGACCAAAATGATTAAATGATCAGGCTTAAAAATGAAAACAATTTATATCAGTACATTCATTTTAAAAAAGTTTGGAAAAAAATACTAAAATCAAGGTTACATATACATGTTAAAGATTTTCAGATATTTTATCCGATATCTTCATACTTGAATCGTATCTTTCTTAACTAGTGAGATATTGGTATGTTTGTACATGAATTCGTCATGATGAAGGCTTCTTAACTTCAAGAAAAGTCTTACCTTCAAAAAAAAAGTATGTAACTATTTAAATTATTTCAAAAGAATTTGAATAAAAATATTTTTTCAAACTTACGTCTATGTATTATAATACTTTTGAAGGTATGAACACTATAAGGAAGCTAAAACTTCATAAGCGTTTTACATGATATATTGTCGACCAAAACAAACTGTATAGTAATTATTAAATTCACAGTATGAAAGAATTGTAGGAATATATTTTTTTGACTGCCTCCCGGTAATTTTTAAAAATTTCAATATGAAATTTAAATCGCCTTCCGACATATTTGTTTACCTGGAAATACAGACAAAATTAAGATTAATAATTAGGAGCTTAAAAGGAAATATTCATGATCCTTTCTTCTTTATATTTAACTATTTTTTTTCTTATTTATACTTATGCTCAAAGGAAGAGCCTTCCTCTGTTTTCTGTTTGTGTTTTATTTGTCTATTTATTTATTTTCACTAAAAATATGAATATATACATCATGTGCACATGTACAAGAGAAATGACATTTTGGTACCATTTTCTTTCTCATTTTTTTAATATAAGAAAATCACTTTATCATGATAATCAGGGAATCTGCAAAAATAAATAAATAAATAAATAAATAAAAATTAAATTAAATTTAAAAAAAAATAATAATCTCTGAAAAAGTATAAAAACAGGTTGGTGTTTTAGAGCACATTGAATTATGTAAATAAATAGAATATCTGTAAAAAAAAAAAAATTATAATAAAGATAAAAAATAACCCCCCCCCCCTCCCCACTCTACCTGATTTTTGTCTTTTCATTTTTTTTTTTTTTTTTTTTTTTTTTTTTTTTTTATAGAACGAAATTTTTTGCCTTCAATTATTATTGTTGATTACAGGGCCTTTTAGAGCGGTACTAAGTAGAAGACTTCAAAAGTAACAACGAAGAAGCGGGAATCTCATTCCATGCTCTTTAATTGGTCATACTATATGAAGAACCAGTTTACGAAAATTATATTTAGGATTTCAAATTAAGATTGTAAAATGATAAAACGAAATAATCAAAATAAAATCAACAATTATGACTTAGTTTATAGTGGAAAATATATAAATGCAATCTTGTGGAGTATGTAGTATACTTACTTCAGTTATCAGGATAAGAAAAAGGTTAAATATGACAATGGGATGCTCCAAGTCAGTGTCAATGTGCCATTTCTCAAATCAATGCGCATTATGGAATTTTATGGGACGTGTATTGAAAATGGCAGATAAATTTTGACTTGATAAATGAACATATATTTTATTACACTGAAATAGATTAGTAGACACATATATACAAGGAAAAAAACTGTTAAATTTGTCGACAGTAATCAAATGATACATGAGCATTAACCTTTTTCTTCCATTGCTTTTCTGTAAATTACCAGTTAATGTCATTTCTGTGCAACTTTTCAACACCTATTATGCTACAATCACTTATGATGTGAAATTCTGAATAAAAATTAGCAGCCAGAGATCCATTCGTTTCTCTTCTGATGAGTGAGAGATACAAGACATGTCTGAGACAAAGTTCCAAAAAAGTTTCACACACACACATTACCTCACACACACCCTCCGACACACACACACACAAAAGAAAAAGCAAAAACAAACACCATATACAACAAAGCAAGATTTACAATAATCTTAATGAACAATATGAAATATAAACAAAAATACCCTCTTTTATAAAAACAGTTTAACTGTCTTTTTTTGAAGAAGATTATCAAAGGATAAAGTCTCCAGTCAGATTTCAACACATCCGTGCCTTAACAATGCCTGAAGCACATTATATAGCATCCAATGCAATTGACCGAGACAAGTCAAAATGTACTAGAAACATCGAAATAGGAACACTTTCAAACATAAAAACGGTGTGGTGGAGAGTAGATCTCGGTGACATTTACAGCATCAATGTTCTATTCAAGAACTATGACGGCTATGGTGAGAATTTTTAACCAACGTGTTATTGTTTGATGTCAATTGTTGTATTAAATAAAAAGAGTAAAACAGTTTTTTTCTTAACTAAACCAGCCTTATTAATTCATGGGTTTTATTGATTTTATATATAAAAAAACAAAAACAACGTTGATTTCTCAGAAGTAGGTAGGGAGAAAGCAAACATAAGATTTACTCAAAATTTACTTTAATATACAACAATTAAACATAATCATTTAGTGTTCATCAACATGTAATTAAATATCGTGCCAAACCTAAAGGAAATTACGTATATTTCTAAATTCATAGAATATTGCAAGGAATAGGACATGGATTTGTAATGATTTTTTTATGTTCAATACAGAAATGCGACAAAAAGGCCGTATTGCGGGATTTTCCCTTTATTTATCAAATTCCAGTATTAGTGGAAACGAGATCTTGTGTTACAAGGATGAAGAACATCTACCGCCATTAAACTTTACAACTACATGCGCTGGATATGGACGATACGTCATATTTTACAATGAAAGACTGGATGAATATAAATATCCGGACGGATATCAAAGTTCGACAGTTACTGAATTGTGCGAAGTAATAGTAAATGGTAATAAGATTTTAGATCATTCTTCATATATTTGTAAAAGATCGCTCTCATATGCATGAAGCCTGTGCATGTAAATCAAGGTATCAACATTATGAAAAATAGTTATTCTGCCTATATTGAAATCAAACAAGAATTGTACTTAAAATAAGAAATATGATCATCAAGTAATAAATTAACTTGTCACAGTTACATAATATTTTTCATCTTGATGTTGATGTCTAAAATTGCTCTTAAAGTTAATGTACAGGATTTCAAATAACAATATAAAAGATTTCCTTACTATGCATGTCAAAGGATATTATAAGGATATTCTTGTTTTTTCTTGCATTATAAATTATTTTCAAACATTTCTTAATGTTTTCGTTCACCAAACTTCAGAGACAACATATTAACAAACTATAACTCATCTTATATTATACTAGCATATAGATGACTTAAACTCTATTTAAAAAGCACCTTTTTTTTTTTAAAACAATTAAGACATACATGTATGCGTTTCTTTTCTTTCATACTATCTTATTACAATATACATTGATTAGGTTGTGGCGAAGCAGGTGCCTATGGAGAAAAATGTGATGAAAAATGTCCCAAGAACTGTCAAGAACAGAGGTGCAACATCATCAATGGAACTTGTGTTGGATGTTTACCAGGGTGGAATGGAACTTTTTGTGAAAAAAGTACTAGATCATAATTCAGTCGAGCCTCGGTAATTCGGATGCCAACGATTTGGACATTTGGGACGAATTGTGTAGGCAACAGAATTAATATTTATATCTACGTACGTATACAAATTATAAAATGACCACTGCAGTGATCAAGACCTATCATTTCTCCTGAGGATTTGATTGGAAACATGAGGATCCCGATTAACGAGACTCGACTGTAGATAATAATTGAATTATTCACTTTTATCTATTTTAGTTTTACATTGATATAATCTGCTGGAAGATTAAAAAATTCCACATGGATGTTAGATTTTCGAATTAATTTCAAACTTTGATTTCATAGAATGCCCAGAAGGATGGTATGGTCTTGAATGCAAACTTCAGTGTTTTGCGCACTGCAAAGACAACGCTTTCTGCAATCACGTGACTGGTCAATGTGACAATGAATGTGCGGATGGATGGAAAGGGGCATTCTGTGATGAGCGTAGGTATTTGTAACTGTGTATGTATCTCAGCTTTGACATCTCTTCAGGCAACAATATGCATTTCAGATATGCATAAAAGAGTTTTGTTTTTCTTCGGAGAATTCAAAAAGCTATAAATTCCTGACGGATTTTTGTATACGGTTTGCTTGCCCAAATCATCCCTGTTAGGAGAGGAATGTGGCAACGCTTTTGCAATCAATCTGCAACATAGGTTATTTTATATTTAATAAAAATCAATACCACAAACGCTCCAAGAATATTATCAATTTAGAAATAATCTGAAAAAAGAATTCTTAGAGATTTGTATATACTCATAATAATCGAAAAAACTAGAACTAAAAACCCTAAGCTTTATACAAACATGCGTTCTATTAATTACTTGATCTTGGATAAGTTGTGATGCTTTGAATTATAACTGTGTGTCATGATTAGTCTTTTGCAAGGTTTTATTCAATTGCAGAGTGTTTGGAAGAGAATTATGGAGTCGACTGTAAATTCAATTGCAGTAGTCATTGTCGGAATGACGTTCCTTGTGACAAACAAACTGGACATTGTGTGACCAATCGGATATTTCGGAAACGAATGTAAGGAACGTTGTAGTGCACACTGTGTGAATGAAAGTTTATCTGACCACGTGGACGGAGTCTGCGCAGACGTTTGTGTCAACGGATATATAGGACATTTATGTAACGAATGTAAGGAAATACATATTGTAAATCGTATGTTTCTTGCAAATTAAAGAAGATAAAAAAAACAATTTTTCATTCATTTTATGGTGAAAATTGCTCTCAAATATGTTCTCCAAAATGCATCGACATATGTCGACACACTGACGGCTCTTGCATCTGGATAGATGGGCACTAATTGTAGCCAAGGTAATTAGGATACATTATTATTCTTCCTCTATATTATTGTTATTTTAATCTTTGAATCTGTTCAATCCTTACACAATGGCAAAAGATGCGTGTAATAGCATCCATTTCAATTTTTCCGACCCAGAATGTCCACCTGGATCATACGGAATAAACTGTGATGAGGAGTGTAGTTTTCACTGTGGATTTAATGACTCATGCGATATATTTGATGGAACATGTCCCCGGGGATGCCAAGAACCCTATACAGGATCAAACTGCTCACAAACGATCGGAAATTGCTCAAAGTTAACTGATGATTCTGGTAATAGATTTGTATACGGAGAACTTTTCATCCCTCTTTTAATTTTTAAACGGGGCAGATTGTGATGAGAATGATATTTCGTTCAAAACACAAGTATGTCCAGGTCAATTTAAATCGTATGCAAGTGTGGTATTGAGAGAATAATATGATGCACAAATAACCCTGAATTTTTTTAGTTTAAGATAATTTAAATCAAATTTTTTTTCCATTTCAACATTAAAGACAAACAAGAGTATTTTTTTTAAAAGTCTCCTACTTATGCTATTCAAAATAAATTTCTTTATAGTTTACCCCCTCATCAAATAGACTAAACTCAGTTAACATTTATAACTTCTAATTTTAAAAGCGAATAAAAATCATCGAAATTTTTATGTGATGATGCAGTTGCCCAATTTAAAATTAAAAAGAAGTCGATGCTCTTTGTCTCAGTTTATATAATCCCGTATATTGTTTCAGAAAAAAATTCATGTGTAATAACCTAATTTCTCATTTTCTTATTAAAAAGGGCCTACCTCCTGTTCTCACCAGAAATCCCGTTCCTTCTAATCCTCTGGTCTGGATTCTTGGAATAACTCTGTCTGGTGTGCTCAATTTGTGTCTCATACTGATTATTGGTTGGATACAGTTCAGGTAATTTTGCATCTAACTCTATGCACAATTCTCTCCTCTCTCTCATTCTGCATGTGTGTGTTGGGGGGGGGGGGGGGTAAGTAAACCAATGCTACGTTTGATATAGAAATTATGTTTTTACTAAGAATATGGTAAATTCTTTCACAAATCAACTTTTCATAAAAAAAAAGATAAGAATTAAACTAAAGATGAAGTGAATGAGATTTATTCATCTTCATTGACATTTCTAAGGAGGAAGTACTTAAGAATGAAGTCTGACACCGTTGCTTTGCAGGATGTGTTAGATTCCAAAAACAACCACTACTATAGAGTAACATCCTCCACTATGCCTGGCTATAAGGGACTAATGGATAACAGAGAAAAAATTGATTATCAGAATGTTACATCAAATTAAATTTAGATGCAGAACAGTAGCTCTCTGGATGGAACAATTCGGCAAGACAAAAGCTGATTCAAGCATTGTAAAAGTGCTGCTTTTTTGAAGCACGCTTGATTTTTTTCCAATTGCATTACATGTATACGCGTTCCTCGACCAAAAGGATGTTATCAATTAAATAACCATATAATTAACTCCCAACAACTTTATTTACCATTAAACGGTTTCAAACAGCCCTATAGGGCCTTGGGATGTCCTTTTCATAAAATTGGCAATCTGTGTTATGTATCTACTCGTTTTTTTGTTTTTTTTTTTTTTGTTTTTTTTTTTTTTTTGTTTTTTGTTTTTTTTTTTTTTTGTTGTTTTTTTTTTGTTTTTGTAAATATACATGTACATATTGTTTTCTTATACAGACAATATTGATAATATTTGAAAAACAACATTATTTTAAAGGCATATGTGTTTTTCTTTTCCGACAGGCCTACTTTAGCACGATCCCATCATGGATACCGGAATGCGATTTCAAAAAATGGCACTCAAAGGCCATATTATACATTTATTAACTGGGCTCGAGAGCAACATGCGTGTTGTCGGTTTTGTCGGACCCAAGAATTAAACTGATTGCCTGAGGCGGTTTGGTCTCCTTATGTTTCGTTATGTTTTCTTATACCTTTTTGTTTTATTAACATACTTGTATCTTGAGCTAGCTTCCATGATTTTAAGTTCCTTTACCCTCACTGCAGCTAAACTCGGTCAATTCTGTCACTGTCGAAAGCCAATGAATGCAGTGTGACGTAGCGGTCCAATATCTCATCGACAGGTCCAATATCTCACTCTGCAGTCAAATATCGATTTTAATGGACCGCTGAAAAAAAACATTGGAAATAATAGACTTTATCCAGCATACATTTATGTAGGAAACAATTTTTAAAGGTATAACAAACGGTTGCTTGGACCGCATAAAAGTAAATATACAAACATGATTTAGGAGTAAAATACATGATAAATTAACAATATATTTATTGATATATGATCTCATGAAAAAATAATGACTTAAAATTGCATTTTCAATTTTTTTTCTTATTGTGTCCCTTATGTAATTAAAATACATAGCGGGTTCCAGTAAATCTACTACCAAGCCTTTTTCTTTACTCCTCACTTTTAAATATTAACAGTAGTGAAAGAGAAACTTCAGAAGTACTGCACAACAATATATTCAACCTTCATACAATATATTTGAGAAATGGTGTAAATCAGACGAGAATACTTAAAACCCCCAATGAACTTTTAGAAATTCTGAAATCACAAAATTTTACCAAAATCAATAACTTCAAAACGTAACATCAACTATTCCTCACTATAAATTTTTTTGACATCGTAGACAGCTGCCTTTTCAATAAAAATGGTACTCGTTAATCTACTTACCTTGTCATTGGTTAATTACTAATTAATTTTGAGAAAAAAATATCCTGATTGTACACACAAGTACTCTTTAGTAGAGATTAAAAAGATGTTTGAGTTTCTGATTGACAATATTTATGTTATTCTTGGAAATCACATCTTTCCTCAATCTGTCTCTATCGCAATTTTCATGTAAACCAATTTCGCTCCCCTTATTAGCGAACTTATTTTATATTCATATGAAGCAAAATTTATTCAAAAACTTATACACGAGAAAAAGAAGACACTTCCTTTGGTCCTCAATCGATGTTTAAATGAAGCAATGACAAATCATCAATTAACAATAGTTATTTCCATTCATATGCCGACTCGATATATCCCAGTGAACTTGAAATAAAGGCTTACCACAGATCCTGCCACATCTGTTTCATATTTGTATGTTTTACTAGAAAAAGTCCTTAATGATCACCTAACAACAAAACTTTATGATAAACGTGATGACTTCAACTTTTCCATCATCAACTTTCCCTACTTGTGTAGCAATATACCCCTATCACCTGCATAACTGGTTTATAGGGTGAATTCACCATGCATCGGACACCCTCGGACTTCAACAAGTTCTAGCAATATCGCTAATATTATCTAACTTAACATGTAGTATGTGGTTAAAATATAAATGTTTGGCACAATTGTGTGCTTTTTATTGAGAAAATATCCCTAAAAACGAAATTTTTTTTAGAGATAAGTCAGAATTCACCAAGGATCGGACAATATTGGCCATGCATCGGACATACGGTATTTAACCAGAACAATATTATATCTTGATCTGTGGGCTTTAAAATTAGTGATATCGAAACATTTTTATCTTTATTTAAAAATTAACCTTCTAGTTAAATTTGAATAACTATTTCAATCCACAAATGTGAAGAAATTTTAGTTCCATCACATCGCAAAGGTTTTACAATGCAAATGATATGACAACTCGCGCCTTTGTCTCGTTGGTTATCATCATCCAGTTTAAAGAAATAAATTGAGTTCACTTCCAGTCGTCATATATCGATGACTTCTATTTTCACTGGAAATTTAGTGTTTTTTAAATTTCTATTTCCGTAAAAAAACAGCTGTGATTTGGGTTTTATATGAAAATGGAAACGATTACCTATGCATCGGAGTGTCCGATGCGTGGTTTATTTGTGTTCGATGTACGGTGAAATAAACACACTAGTAAAAAACAACTCTAAAAATATTATACAAACATTGAAGTAAACTTTTTGAAAAAAAAATTCTTTAAAATTATCAATTACTGACAAATTTATCGACAACTCTAAAAATTGCAAAATCGTAAAATTCTGGTTACTCCCCTTTGATGATGCAAAATATGATGTAATATTTATCACTACATGAAAATCTAAATCGGCATTATTAAAAAGTTTAAATATCCATCTTTAAGACAGAAACAATTAAAAACACGGGGGGGACTCATGTTCAATGAAAGTTTATTGCTTAAAGTTGTCCGAAGCAAGGTATGTGTCCAATGCATAGTTAACTTACCTTATCTCTCACTTGATTCGATATGAAAGGCCATGTTCCACGGACTAACAATTTCTAAAACGAGACAAGCTTTTGACAAACAAGTTTATGAGACAAGGATATCAACAGTCTCTTTTAGAGTCCACAATTCGCAAGTTATATGGTCGATACAATGACCTCGTCAGCAAATACTATGATAATCTCTCTTTAGGTCGAGTGCTGGCTTAGGTTTTCATACTAATTGTCAGGTAGTTATTTACACACTGAATTGTCTACGGATTTTTCCGTTTGCCAGATCATGACAATGAACACACGGCGGGTGTGACAGGTCGACAGGGGATACCTACTCCTCCAGAGCACCTGATCCCATGTCTGATGTTTTCAGAGGTCTGTGTTGTGTTGCTCCAAAATTTGTATTTTTTCAATGGAATTTCCGATTGGTAACTGTTCGTTATCTTCATATTGCATTATTTAATCTATAATGATGAATGCATTTAATTCTTGTAAGAAATGCTGTATTTTCCTCTTAACAATGTTGGACAAAATAGTAGATTCCCTTTGCAACCAATTTGTTGTAAATGTTTTCTCAATAGTCTTTAATTTCAAATTCACATATTATTTTTTAAAAATTCATATTATTGATATGCATTTTAAGAAATATTAAGGCTCTAAATCTTCAAAAAGGTTCTAGGGTAAAGTATCATAGTAAATCAAAGTATCAAAGTATTTACATGTACTATTGTTTACTATTATAGTAAATTAGAGTTAATTATAGTAAATTTTTTTAGGGTCAATCTTAAGGCTAAGCAAGTTATTATATTGGATTCAAGATTACATGTAAGACTTCGGAATTGACGTGATTGCTAAGCAGGTTCATTGTAAGATTTTCCACAGAGGTCTAAGCATACGTCATAAGAAAATATCAACTACTCCCTTCATAGATAAATCATTCCTTAGAAAAAGTAGTCTTTTAAGTATTTAGTCTTTTTATGAAACTGTTCATGGTAGCTCAGTCGGTAGAGCGCTCGCTCCGTGATCGGGAAGTCGTGAGTTCGAATCTCGGCCGCGACTCACCTAAGTCGATAAAAAAAATGGGTAGCAACTGTTCCTTCGCCATGCGCTCGGAACTTTGAAATGGAAGTTGCGGGTCCTTCGGATGAGACTTTAAAAACCGAGGCCCTAGCTGTGTCACGGCAGGCGGTGGCACGATAAAGATCCCTCGCTGCTCAATGGCCCTGAGTGCCGAGTAAAGGTCAAAGTTTGAAGCCCTTCACCGGTATATGGTGACCTCTCTATATGAGTGAAGAATTCTCGAATGGAACGTTAAACAATCAATCAATAAATCTTTTATGAATATGCTATGTATGTAGGTTTATCTTCATTTCAGATTTTACAAAAAATGAATGTAAAAGGATCATTCTCTATAAGGCCGTTTTTCGGCCTACATTGACTTCAATGTTTGAAGTAATATTTTTTCCTTTAAAAACTGCATGAAATAGTAGGTTTATGTTCCAATTTTATAATAAAAATTAATTTGTAATTGATACTACAGAATTTATTGTGATATTATAGAGTAACGTACTATTGTTTCGTAATAGCATTAGGGTAATGGGAAAACTCAAGAGGGTGGGTGTGTTCGAGAACTCCTACACATGTCATAACCACTTCTAGCCAACACAAAAATTTTCATGTACACTTCTTATAAGCATAAAAAGTGACTACCAGATTATGAACATGGTTAAAGGTATGACATATGAATAGAAACTTTTGTTTCATTTTAACAATATTTGTAGGAAAAGCTTATGACTCACAGCAAAGGCTATCATCTTTATATGTAGATTATTTCATACATAATAAACTTTCAGTTAGAGTTCATAAATTTTTGTTGATTTAGCAAGAGTTAATATAAGCCATGCACTTTTACTGGAAATGTGTAAAAATTTTTACTAAATATTCTAAAATCAAAGACCTGGAAATACTCTATGTTATGAAATTACAGATAAAGACAAATCTCATCGAACTGTGTACTAGAAATAAAGAAAAAAAATTATTATAAGGTGTGAGTATGTCATTTATAATAATTATTT